GGTTCAGGCAGGCATTCAGTCATATCATTGTTCAATAAAAGCTGAGCTGAGGCAGAAATGAACCCACATCCCTAGGTACACTTTATACCTTTCACTTTTTTTCACAGTCACTTTAATTGTTAGCCAATTCTGTCACTAGAGACAAATCGCCAATAGCAGAATTGCTATAGAGGTAGCTTGTCTATGGATTTACTTCTACTGTTACCAGATGCAGTGAGATTGCTGACCACATTGCTGAATATCGGTCTGTATTGATGGGAAGGGTATCTGGCTGCTCCAGCTACAGGGGGTGCAATTCCATAAAGACAAACAGGCAGCCTCTTAGTGATCCTGCCTCCTGCGATTTAGACAGAATTGCCCATCTGATATCAGCCTTACTGACACACATTATGGATGTATACTGCCTGGCCAAACAACACAAAAAGTCACACACACTAGTATTTATTTGGACCGCCTTTAGCCTTGATTACAGCACACATTCGACGTGGCATTGTTTCGATAAGCTTATGCAATGTCCCAATATTTATTTCCATCCAGAGTTGCATTCATTTTTCACCAAGATCTTGTAGTGGTGATGGGAGAGTTGGGCCACTGCGTAAAGTCTTCTCCCAAAGATTATCAAATGGGATTAAGGTCTGAACTTTGTGGTGGCTGATCCATGTGTGAAAATGATGCCTCATGCTCCCTGAATCACTCTTTCACAATGTAAGCCCCATGAACCCTGGCATTGTCATCCTTGAATATGCATGTGCCATCAGGGAAGAAAAAAATCCATTGATGGAAAAACCTGGTAATTCAGTATATTCAGGTAGGCAGCTGACCTCATTGTTTGGGCACATACCATTGCCGAATGAAGACCTATTATCCAAGGGAAGGTTCTGACCTATTTGCTTAGCTAAATCCAGGTGGTGACTTTTTTGGTGGCCAGGCAGTATATATGAAAATGATGAGTATATAACTAGGTATTGTCTACGTATACACAACTCGGAATCATAAATCCTGCTTTATTGAGGTATTTTTTTTGTTCTTTTTAAACAAAAATCTCCTACTTGCTTGGCACTCCTCCATGTAATATTATAAATGGGTTTTCACCTCCCATGACTTCTATGTTATCAGCAGCACCCCTCCCAATCCCATTGACAGTACTTGTAGGAGTGATGTACTATTATAAATGTAGATAAAGATGAACTCCAGAAATGCTAGCTCTGGATTGCTAGCTGTGTGATTGAGGGACTTTTTTATGTGTTATACAGAGGGCTCAGAAACAGGGGATTTCCAGTTTTCGGCGTGCTCACTCACACAACACAACTTGTAGGTTCTCCGGTCTATTGATAGAGTAAATCTCTGACTCACAATTAGAGACAATCTTTAAAATAATTAACATATTCTAATTCCTCTGGTCATTTATATTTTCTGATGAAAGGAAACAGTTATGCCTTCTTCTGATGCCTTTGGTCATAGGCTTACTGTGACCGATGCAAAATCCATTTCTGGCAAACAAATGGAAGTAATTTGCCATAAAGTGATGCATATTTTGCACAGTTTCCCTTTGTTATTAAACTAAGATTTCATGGCATTTTACAGAAACAGTATTTAGTAGTGGATGCTGCTGGGCATCTTTGATGTGGCTTGCTACTCTCTCTCTCCATAAAAGGAAAGATACAACAGAGCGAGTCTAATAGAAAACTATGGGATCATATTGCCAAAGATACCTGTGGACCATGAATAATTGAAAGTTCATGGTCCTAATAGTTATACACATGTGAGAAAGTTAAAACCAAGAAAAAGGCTAAGCAAACCTGATACAAAAGGTATTTCTTCTCCTCCGCTCTATGTAAGCTATACTTAGACTTATACAGTGTAATGTATTGGGGTGGAAGAAGACACATACTCTTTTACAGTGTAAGGTACCAGAATTAATTAGCTGCTAGAATAGAACACTACACTGTGTTTGTTGTCTGGAACTGCTCTTTAAACAGAAAGGGTGAGGCCAGTCTGAACTAACCTCCATGTCCCTATTCTTGGCTTTCACTGTTGTAAATGTCCCATACATGGTAGTTTCTGCTGTAGTCATCCTCTATCTCCTCTGCCTGGATCAGTATTTCTCAACTTTTATTCAGTCACGGCACCCTTTAAAAGTGTGCAAAATTTTAAGGCACCCCAGTCTAAAGTAATGGATTTTAAGGGGGACTTATGCAAAAACACAAAAAAGTGAGGTTCCCTCTTCAAATCAGGAGTCCCCCTTCACATCCGAGTACCCATTTACATCAGGGGTCCCCTCCATTTCAATCAGAGTCCCCTCCTCTCACACTTAGAGCTCCCCATCACATCATCAGAGCCTCCTCCTTTCACATCAGAGCCCCCCTCTTTCTCATCAGAGTCCCCCTTTCACATCAGGGTCCCCTTCACATAGTTTTGGAACTATATAGTACAACAAGCAACTGAAGGCTACTATACCGTGCACGTCCTTGCTGCTCTTTGCACTGCCTTGATATAAGTTCATATAAACCATTATAAATGTGATTTGCTACAGTTCTGGTCTACAACAATATATCATTGTGGCTATGAGTTTATTAGCTTTTAGTTTTCAAAGTAGATCTCCGGAGATAATAATCACTGAGATGGACAATATTGGTAGTGTGTCCCCACCTTCATTTCAGATAATTACAAGGTGTACTACTTTCTGTGAACCAGCCCTTATTACTTTTGCCCCATACAATATTTGTGTATTTAGATCGCAAATAATATCTTTCAACAGACCAAGGAGCATTTATACAATTGTGCTCGACTGTTCCCGACAGGAGAGTCAAGAATAACCAGTAACTCTTCACCGGTGACCTAGTTTTGCTGCTGTAAATAGAATAATGAAGACGATTATGTTGAAACCTACAATCTAGTTTTGGGACGGGAGACACATGGAAGTGCAAGATAGTTAGCTGAAATATGCAATGTCCATGCAACTTTACAGTTTTAATGTCAGTATATATAAAACCAGACTACCTATCCGATACCAGATTTTATTAGATGGATCTAGTCGTGAATTCAACAAGTAGTTATGTCATAGAGCGTTCATAATTCCAAAAGTGGTTTCAAGTCTATTATTCCGATCCGCTCCATCCAAATATCATATACAGCTTAAAGTGTATATTGTAGCTTACCAGTCCTAACATGTGGTGGCTGCATTAGATTTCATTTTTCAGACTTATTTCCTTTATTTTCACCTGGAGATCTTGCCAGAAACACACTACCTGTCCTAGTGTAACCATGTAACCTTAGTAACCATAGTAATATATCTATGATATCTATGGAGGTGCATTGTTGTCAGCCTAGCCTGCTTATTTCTGATTTTGACTACAGAACACCTCCTCATAACATGGAGGAGGGTTCTGTAGTGAATGGTAGAGGTGAATAGCAGAGGCACAGTTTAGTCATCTCACTATAGGAAGTTAGGAGTTCACTGAAGCTCTGTCAACAGGTGTTTTTTTTTGCACTTATGAGCCAGATATAACAAAATAATCCATTGGTAAATGTAATGGATAAAATGGGACTAAATGGTTCACTGTTTACATACATCTTAATTTATCTCAGTTGGTGTTCAGGTATAACTACCACCAAACATATTTGCCAGTTATAATGACAACCCCTCATATCTCCTAGCTGCATTTGAAAAAGAATTACAATATATTTTGCTTTCTTTCACATGTTATTTTCTTATATTACCTGCAGCCTGAGACTCCATTAGACTCATTGAACTAAATAAAACTGTCAGACTAAACTCATAAATATTAAAGGTAAACCTCTCAAATTTGCCAAGATACAGGCTCCAGGGATGCCATCCTTAAAACCCCTCTACTATCTTGTATGTCTTGATCTGGAAAAAGAATACAGTAAGCTATTCCTATTCTACATTTACAGTATGTTCCAGGTAAGTAACGAGAAAGGTAGAGAAGCCGACTCAGAATGTCAGCCCTGAAACTTGCACGTCTAAAAAAAAAAAGTCAGCAATGGCAACTACCATAACCTTACATCACTGGTAAGGGCTTTTAAGGGCTGAAAAGGACAATGAGGGGAATTTATCAAAACTGGAGCAGACAAAATTTGGAACAGTTGCACAGGGCAACCAATCAGCTTCTCTCTTTCATTTTCAAATCTTAACTGAACAAACTGAAGAGAGAAGCTGATTGGTTGCCCTGGGCAACTGCTTCAGATTTTGTCTGCTCCAGTTTTGATAAATTCCCCCCAATAAGTTTACAGAATATAATTAGATCCTTGCTCAAATTCATCAGAAAGGCCTTATGCCGTTTAATGGTACCTCTGATCAAAATTATTTTAAGCCAAGCCTATTGGTTAGGTCTGATATTACATACTCTTAACAACTCTTATGTCTTTAGAAGGTAAAATAAACATATGCACCATGTTCTGTAAACTATATCTTTATATGTGCTGAACTGTGTAAGGTCATTCCATTTATCTGGAGAAGTATAAATAAAGTTAATATTTGCAGAGTAGTGATGTCACAGCTGTACAAATACAGTATGTAAAGATCATTGACGTCACTTGGTGAATCATTTTATAGAGTTCTGTGATAAAAGGTGACATGGATATAAGAATATAAAAGGATAAAACCTGGGTCATATCAAAAATAATGCATCTCCCTTCTGTAAAATATACCAGATATTAAACACTACCAGACAGAGGTACCCAATGAACAACCAATGAGATTCCTTTATACTGCTCTGGGAGAAGGGGGAATCTGAATGGATGCTATGGATAGCACAAAGAACCACGGATCTTTGATGTGATGTGAAGGGGGACTCTTGTTAAAGATTGTTTTAAATAAAGAAATCATTAAGCTAAAAGTACTGGGAGAATTCAAAATGTCACCACAACAGGAACAAAATAGAAATCTTCCAACAAAGCCATGTTTTCTGTTGACAACCAAGAAGGCATTTCCCTCACTTATGTGAGATATTTTCTCACTTCTTGTTGTATCTAAACAGTAGGAAGTGGAGATAAATTTCCCCATTGGGACACTCTTTTCCTACACTATCCACAAAAAAAAACTGGCTGTAGATATACTTTAAGCCTGTACATGGCACAGGTACCTCCCTCAGCGAATCTGCCGCTCCAGGCAAACGCCTTGTTTGCCTCGCGGCAGATACGCCCCTGTATTGCCTATCCTCTTTATTCACCAAGGTTGCATCAAAGCTAAATATCATATAAAAATGAATGTGATGATGAATCAGTTATATAACTCTGAAAAGCACTTGAAGCTGGACCCCCGCATTAATAAACCAGGTATACTGTAAACTAGGGTTGCACTGATACCGATACCAGTATCGGTATCGCGACCAATACTGAGTATTGAGTGAGTACTCATACTTGCCCAAATGCTCCGATACCGGAACTTCCAGGCAGAGGAAGATTCCTCTGACCAGCAGTGCCGCGAGGGAACATGGAGCCAGCTTCCAGGTCAATCAAGCTCTGCAGCAGGTAATGACACGCCGCCCGGCCTCCTGATTGACCGGGAAGCTGGCTCCATGCTAGTGGAAGTACTGGTATTAGTACTCGGTACCAACAAATACCAAAAGATAAATATTGGTACTCCATAACGAAAAACCGGTATCGGTACATCCCTACTGTAAATGATGGAAAGCATTTAACTTGTATCCCTCTATAATGCAAACTAAAGCCTGTAGACGAAACAAAGGTCTGTCAGCCATACACCATGTAAAAATGTATGTGTATAACAAGCTGGGCTGGAGCTATAACTCTGCTAAAACAGGAAAGACTGTCTGCTCACACCACACTACCCTTTATCCTCTGCCACTTCAAATGGAATGGAATCAATAACAACTCTCTTTTAAACATGCCATATAGTTTAAGGTAGGCTTTGAAGAAAATTGTAAACGAGTTAAAATTACCAGTTCAGCAAAAACATCCTAATCACCCCAATGCAGGATGGATCAAAGACAGCCTTTAAGAATGAATGGAAAGTTGCTGATTTTGGAATGATATTGCTCTTGCATGTGAGAGTTATTTAAGCATTGTCATCTCCTGCACATATTCAAAGCAGGACATTCTGACACCTGAACCAACAAAAATTATGGGCTGTCAATTCACTATGTATCAGTGGTGTCACTCTGTGAAATGACAGGAGGTTGTGTCACACCTCCCAACTGTCCCTCATTTGAAGCCAAATCCCTCTGTGCCTCTTTATTTCTTAGTTGTCTCTCTTTTTAGTCTGATCTACGGAAATGTATGAAAATGTTCTATTTAACTGCTAAAAGTGTTATTATGCACTGCTGGGAAATTTCTGTATTTTGTTCATTCTGCGAAAAGCCCTTTCATGTGCATTTTAAAAAGCTGGTTATAAATCGATTGGAATGGCTGCCATCTTTGTTTAAGTGCGAAAATATACCTGTTAATCCTGATAAAACCCTTGTGAGAAGACTCGTGTCTTCTCCTAGGGGGACAACAATCCTACATAGATACAGTATGGTGAGTGAGCACTGTCACCTTGGATAGGAAGTGTGTTACTGGCAGGATCACCTCTTGAGAATAAAAGAGAAAAACCCTGGAAAAAAAACACATTTAAGGATTGAAAGCTGCAGTGTGTTACATTTATGTAACACACTGTAACACACATATGTAATAAACATTGTAATAAATGAGACAAAATGTTGAAGCCAAGGACAAAACTTTTGTGTCTTGACACCTAAATAACACTAGACCATAGTGGGCTAAGGAACCTTCAATAATTACTTGATTGTGTGACTTCAGTGGGAGGAGCTAATGCATGCAGTGTAAGGGTACGACAAGAGGGCATGGAGAGTCAATTCTAGCAGTTTGCCTAGTAAACTCATTTGGTAGGAGCATTGTGCGATTTAGTGCTTTTGCAGGTGAGCATGGTATTCTTTCATAGACTCAGCTGGTCCTATTGAGATACCTTTGCATTGCAGGCAAAGGAGGTGAAACACAGCCGTAATCTGCATTTTGTGTTTGGATGCACGCAAAAAGCAGCATATGACAACAACTGACTCCACATCATCATTGTTGTTTAATGTTAGTGTTAGGTTTAGGGTGGTTAAGTGGTTTCTGTTTAAGAGAAGCAATATCCTGTACTTTTAAGAACTATGTCCTTTAGCCCATTAGGGCCCATTTACAGGTTAAACATTTATACAGGTTAGCCATAGTTTTAAATGGTGCAAGTTCATATCTGTGCGATGCGTTAATAACTCTATTTTGATTTGTCAATGTGTGTTATAGGGCTGTTTGATGACAACAGCAGTGCATGCAAACCCATGATTGTTGCTGACCTATGTAAAAATGCATGAAGACATAAAAGGCGTGAAATAATCCAGACCCAAACATGCTGGGGCCCCAGTGCCTTCCCTAACAGTAGACATTGACTGACAGCATGGTACGTCCCTACGTAATACCTCCTAGTGTTTAGCAGAGCATATCTGTGTCATGTGACTATGTTACACATTACCAATTTGTCATTCATTCTCCAAGGCTGCAACCTTGGAAAAAAGGAAACAGACCAGCAAGATCATGTGACCTGAAGTTAGACCTTTAAACTTCCATTTTTATTTCGTTGATAACTCTGCTTGTTCTGCCTGTCTGCCTTGCTACCTCTAAATTAGCCCTTCTCAACCTTTTTACCTCAGAGAAGCACACAAAATGTTTAAGTCTCAGGGAACCCTTGCTAAAATGATAATACCGACAGCTCATGGAACTTTAACATGAATAATTAGTAGTAGAAATATTTAAAAACAATAATAAATAATATGGTTTACATAGTTGATAACCAGTGTGAATACCCCACTTGCTCTATGCAACAAAATTATTTCTAGTAAAAATGTTAAATGAAATGAATAATAACAGAAAAGAAAAACACAGACAGCAAAAATGTATAGTCAGTGTAGAACCATCTACATTGATGGTTAATGGAAATTGGCCCCTTGCATTGGTGGCAAGTGTAAATGGGAGATCAGTCTGCTCACTGCTCAAGAAACCCTTACAATCACAGGAGGGTTGAGGAAGGCTGCTCTAAATGCTTTTCTATTGTTGTAGAGTCTAGACAAATGGGATAAACTGCAAAGCACAGTAGTGGTGTAGGTGGTTTTATTCACGAACGAGTAAAAAAGAAAACAAAGAAAGAGACTTCTGGAAAAAAATTAGTTGGAGGGACAACTACAATGATCATCTATCAGTCTCGCATTTTAATGTAGAATGGTAATACAATCTTTGTCTACAATTCCCTTTAAGGCACTTCTTCACTCAAGCTTATGAAGTTTGTTTTGTAACTTTTGTCTGTGTTATTTTTAGGTGAAACTTGTGTTCTATAGGCAGACACTGTGATTTTAAGAGGTGGAACCCCTGATTAACCTAAATACATTGCAGAACGTCCCAGCACCGAGGTGAAGATTCCAGTGGGACTGCTTGTTTGTGTCTATTCTTAGGCTGCTCTTAAAATACTTTGTTGGCACACAGTATGAACCTCCTCCTTTGGTCCCACATTTACAGCTGTTGCAAAGCACTCTGGGTGGCTCCTCACTATACCCTTGAAAACAACTGGTGAGAACCTTGCACCAGCATCTAAGTGCAGCTGTCAGATTTTCCTTTCCAACTTTAGAAATGGACTTATCCCTTTGAAAGCAATCACTACATGCTGGTGGGGACTCAACATGTAACCTAAAAAGGTTTTCTTAGAAGAAAGTAGATTGCTAAAATATAAAACTTATTTTTAAATTACTTTTAAATGTTGAAAACAATATTTGAAATGTTGTAAATAATTATTTCAATGTTGTCTATAAAAAGGTTTAAAAAAAATAACATAATGAAATAATGAAAGCCTGTGTGGGATATACATTTATTTGTTTATGAATTAATAATGGCATCATTATCATCAACGACATTGTTATTTTAAATAAAACATATAACTGTCCTCCTGTTTAAAAAGAAGCCATACACAGACAGGTGAATGTCATTTATTTCTATGAAAAATAAAAGATCCCCATTTCTGTCAGAACTGCTTGATTTGGTGACTGATGTTTGATTTTTTTTGTTTGCCACAAGTGTTTACTTGTGGCATTGTTCCTTCTATGACCTGTTTTTTTTTTTGTTTTTTTTTGGGGGGGGGGGGGGGGTTTTTCTTGTTTTTTTTTTTTTT